AGGCAGCCACAACACTCTTATTTACCCTCGTACGCCGACGAGCCTTCCACTCGGATGATCTGGCTGATCAAGAGGCAATTTAACGTCCGCCCCCATGTGACATCAGGAATTATTTGACGACGCAGCAGGATGACGATCACAGCCAGATCAGAGCCGAGTCCCCAGCCATAAATGTTTATAGACGGTCTGGTAAGCATCTGTAGAGGCTGCCACACTCGAGTTAACCCCTATCATGCGCAAGCAGCAGAACCAATGACTTGCAGCGAAGCATGCGTGTAGTACACCCAGTGGGTTGGCAAGGTGACCGTGACCCAGTGCTTCGTCCAGGGACCTTCAAGAAGCTCCGCCCGTCTTCCCCCAGATGCTCCACGTGAACAATCACGACTCTCAACGTTGAGCGCACACGACACCTCACGTTGAGAGGACTCTCAAGACAGAACTCACAACCTCACGGTAGGAAGTGATGAAGAGGGTAGGTAAGGTTAAGAGCAACGTACCTCGTTCATGCTGCCCCCAACCACAGAGATAGTCTCACCGGATGACCTGAAGATGATTGTGATGACCAGTCACAGCATCGGCACAACCAGCATTTCGTCGTTCCACCTCAGCCTCAATCACCCAACAGATAGTTCTCATCACACTGCGAACACCCAATATTTCTTCCAGGCGATGCCCCTCACCACCTGGGTAGCCTTCACACTCGTCTCCACCCTCCTCACTACACACCACTTACGGCCAAACTCTCCCAGCAGACCGCATGTATGTACCACATAAGGTAGAAGACAAGCGCCATATGAGCGCAATCGTACCACAACTCCGATGCCAAATTGCAAGGAAGATGAGCATTAGCGAACTTCAGCAATCATACAGCATCATACATATGAGTCCAGATAACCTTGACCTCGAACCACAACAGAATTGCATCACGAGATACACCAAATAAGAACACACCAAGAGTTCAAAATTGACAATGCTGAAGTAGTCCCATCAACGAAGAACCAGAGTTGATATCCTATTGGCGCTCGGCGCCCAGACTACATGTGGCAGATCSTATCTAGCCTATACTACGAAGCAGAATGATGACATCAACAACGTTCCCGAAGTACGAGCATATGGCGACCAWTGTCGCCCGCTTCAGCACCAGGTATGTCTTGCGCTACACTCACAACCCCGATCCACACCGCACAGATGCCACTAGCACCCAAGGACCACCCTGCGCTTCACCCAGCATACCGCAGCGCAGCTTGGCTATGGCTGCGTGCTCCCTCCCTACTCGCCCGTGAGAGCGTGAGTGCCAGCCAGCCAGCAGATAGCGCACCAGCGCTCGCGCARCATGCAGCCATCACCCGAATCCCGAATGAGGAGGCAGGCCCTTCCYTATATCGAAGTGGCCTGCCTGCGTCYAGTCCAGGAAGCTTCCAGTAGGCCCCGGTAGCCTGAGGCCCAGTCACAAGGAACGCAAGCCTTGG